CCCCCCAGGAATCCAGGAACCCATCAGGGCAGGAGTGGATCAATCCATTATGGAGGGAAGAGCCCTCAGGACCCGGTCATTTCCTAAAAGTAACGTCTCCAAATATTAACACAGGACTCTGGGCATTAAGATTCCAACATTTGAATTCTGGGGAACAAGCATCGAGCCCTTGGCAGAGGACAAGTGTAGATAAGGTAGGATCTGTTATAAGCTCCTGGTGAGAGAAGAGTCTGGCCCAGGATTGGCACAGTGAAGACGGACATATGTCAATGAATCCTGACATGTCACAAGTGGAATGGACATATATCAGAGAGAGATCAAGAACAAGGGAAAATGGGGAATCTGTGTTTTTCCATATCGCAAACTTTTAAATGGAGAAGAAACGGATGAAGGGCAAGTTTGAAGCTTTGGATGCTATGGGGATAATAAATTCAGGTGGCCTCTGCCTGGTGACATCCAAATAGACATCTGGTCGTGGGTTAGGACTACCAGGCCAGAGTTCAGAACACACTTTCTCATCCATTTTCTCCAAATACAGCATTTTGCCCCCCTCTGCATGCTTTTGGGAAATGTGTTTGGAGTGTGACAAATCTCTTCTGTGCATATCTTCAAATTTGGAGATAGGAACCTTATCAAGGTTGTTTCTGTTATGTGCCACTCCTGGGCTCCTCTGGGCTAATCACTTTGACATTTTGTATTCATTCCGTGTGAGATGAATGCTTTATCCTGCATTGATGGGACAGTGGTTTCTAATGAGAAATCTGATGAAATCAGGTGCTTTGAATGCAGAACGTCTACACACTTTTGGAGCTTTGTGATTCTCCTGAAGTTCTTCTCTTCCCTTTAGAAGACCTTGGTTTTGATGCAGAACTGCAACTGAGAGTGATTTCTGTCTGATAACGATTTTACTTTTAAATCCATCAAAAAGGAGGAGAAGTGACATTTTCAAGTGGGCAGACAGGAAAAATGAATCTCTTGGTCTCTCTCGGGGTCTCAGCACCCTTCCTCTACTCCGGGCTCTTCACAAAAGATCATCTCATCGGAAATTCAGGGTAAAAATGGCTTTTCATTCTTGTTCCCATTTCCTGGCATTCTTCCTCTGAAAGTCATTATTAATAGAGAAAACTCTGCCGATTAGGTGATCGGTGTCTCCCCATCCCGGTGGTGTTTCATTATCATTTAAATGTGCCACCCACAGCTCCTCCTCCAACCTTCTGAATGGAGGGTCTTTGGTAGATCTCCCCCTAAATTACGCTCAACGGTTGTGCAGCGGGAGGCCTCGGTGGAGAAGGAAAGTGGGGTCTCCGTGATTATCGGGTAGTTTGGCCTTCTGTGTCCCTCCTGAAATGAGCCACGGTCCCTGCCCTCCCTTTCTCCTCACTCTCTCCCTTTCATTCCCAAGGGGTTATCTTTGCCAAGCCCCATCACCCAAAAAGTCAATTGTGTGTTCATGCTGCCCACAAGGTAGAACAAGTTTTTAAAGGAATTTTTTCAGAGTTTTGAAAATTGGATAATAAATGCACAGCCAACTTCTCCACCTCCCCTCTACGTTTTTTTTTTTTTTTTATTAGTTCATGATAGTTGTACATGATGTGGGGTCGTTTGTCACGTGTCTGTCTATGTGCACCATATCACAGTACTAGTCTTGCCCTCTTTCCCTCCTCTCTTTCTCCCCCCTGGACCCTTTCTTCTAATCCTCCGATTTCCATTCAGTTTTTTTGAAACGCTCCCCAATCTCACCCCACACACTTTCTTTTCCTTTTTCCTCTCTAGCGTCTGCATCTGAGAGAAAACACAGGACCCTTGACCTTCTGTGTTTCTCTTGACCTTCTGCATTTCACTTATTTTGCTGAACATAATACTATCAAAAGCTCAGCCCTTGTCCCCATGCCAATTCAATAACAAGGACATGGTTTTGAGAAAAGGGAAACCAAGTTATATTACTTTGCTCATAGCACAGGAGACACCTGTCCCAGAGGCTGGGATTCTTCTGTGGAACAGAGGGCTTTCAAAGGGCTCCCTTCCAGGGTGCCCTGACAGGGTTCCTGATTCACTTGTTAATTTGAGAGAGAGTCATTTCTGAGATTTTTCTGGTGCCATCTCCAAAATCTGAATTATGTCCTTCGTGTGGTGGGTGTGTGCTCCAGGACAGGTAACTCTGCCTAGGATGGGGAGGAAAGGTGATCCAGTCTCCCCTGAGGTTAGGAGGGGGAGAGATTAGGGAGGAGCAGGCGGAGAGGAAGAGAGGGAAATACTTCCTTTTAAAAATAAGCAGCAGTGAGATGGACAGAATCACCCTAGCTACGTGTCTGATGGCACAAATGGTGTGACTCTACACCGTGTACCATCAGAGAAGTGAAAAGTTGTATTCTATTTGTGTACAATAAATAGAAATGCATTCTGCTGCCATGTCTAACTAATGAGAACAAATAAAAATAAAAATTGAAAAAAAATTAGTTGCAAGGGGGCTGGGGCTGGAGTTCAGTGGCAGAGCGCTCGCCTAGCATGTGTGAGGCACTGGGTTTGATCCTCGGCACCACATAAAAATAAGCAAATAAAGGCATTCTGTCCATCTACAACTACAAAAAACATTTTTCGCAAGTTTGAAGGGCTACAAAGCATAAGTGGACAACAATTACAATAATAGTCTCAAGTTTCATCCACTTTCCTGCAAATGACACGATTTCATTTTTCTTTATGACGGAGTAGAGCTCTTTGTGTATACATACCATATTGGCTTTATCCATTCTTCTGCTGATACACACCCAGGCTGGTCCCATAGTTTGGCTCTTGTGAATTGCGTTGCTATAAACATGGGTAATGCATGTGTCACTGTGGTCCGATGACTTTCATTATTCAGGATAAATACTGAGGAGTGGTATGGTGGGGTAATATGGTGGATCCGTGCCTGGTTTGTGAGGAACCTCCACACTGATTTCCACTGCGTCCATCTGTACTAATTTTCAGCCCCCCCAACAGTGTGAAGGTGTCCCTTGTCCTCCAGGCCCTCTGCAGTGGTCACGATTCACGTTCTTGAGGACAGTGAGTGACCACTTCTAATGCCACATTTTCAGTGCTAGCTTTTAGGACTCTGCCTTTCTCAGTCATTTTAGGATATTGATTATCTACGTTCCGTGCATCAGGCCGCCTTTGGAGTGAGGACAGCCCTGAACCCCGACTCGGCCTTTCATTGGTAAGAATCGCCATCGCCTGAGAACTGAAGGTGCTTCTTCTAATGCAAACGGCTGAGGGTTGGAACCAGGTCCCTGCCTGTTATAATGTCGGCTGAGCACACTCATTCTCACCTCGGCAGAGGAGCCTCTTCTGGGCCCCATGGCAGAGCACTCAGTCCCTGCTGCGCTCTGGGCCTCACACCCATCAAGGGAGGATGGCACGGAACATGGACACCGCCGCTGGAGGACATCCATCCAGGAGGGTGCTGCCTGGCCCTGTCATCTTCCTGACCCCGAGTCTCTCCTCTGTAGAGTGAGAACAAGGCATGCCGGCTGCCCCTGGATGCTCTCTTTCCCTCCCCAGCGTTCCCATTCCGTGGTGCTGGGCTCAGGAGGCCCCCCGAGAGGCCCAGAAGAATCAGCAGAGAGACCTTGCTGAGCCGATTATCCTGGGACCTTGGTGCCCAGTCCCATCCCCCAGGGCTTTCCAGGCTGCACTGCCCTGCGCATAGGAATGGGTGGCTCTCCCTGGCCTTTGGACCTTCCGTCTAGGGGCTCCTGTATGGGAAGTCTGCCGTGGCTTTATGCCCAGTGATGATTTCAGCAGATTCCAAGTTTACCAAAGCCTTCAGAGGGGGAGTTTGAACTTCCCTCCCGTTTACCCAGACCTGCAGCTTCTGTCTTCTCTTTCACATTGCTCAGTCCCAGCATTTGGCAGACCAAGCCCTGGGTGTGCGGACACCTGGGTGACCAGAAGTGAGTCCCTGTCCTCATGGAGCTTACCTTCGGGAAGGGAAATGAGGTTGCTTAAAACAGGAAATAACGATAAGGGTTCTACAGCAAGAAAGCACAGGAGGGGGGGCAGAGGTGGCCGGAAGTGCTATTTAAATGGTGTCTTGGGAGATTCTCTTGGAGGACGTTGGAGCAGGGAGCTAAGAAAGCTTCAGAGTTAGGTTTGTCTCGGGATCTTCTCTATCAGTCCCGCCGAGTGCCGCCAGGTCCCCCCAGTAAGACCAGAACAACCTCCCCATGAGGGGAGCCTGCGTCTCCTGCCTACCTGAGCTTCCGGGGAATCCTGTCTCAGCCTGCTGTCTCGGGGGACAAAGTCACCATACGTACTGAGTTTTGGAAGGAAGTCACGAAGTGGATGCCCCATGCAGGCGCTCCCTGGGTTTGGAGAAGGATTGCAGTGTAAGAATCGGGGAGTAGTGGCCGGAGCAAGCCAGCGGTGTCGGGAAGAGGAGTTGGTGATGTCTAGGGGCTCAGAATGGAACACCCCAAAGTGTGGTGCTTGGGCAGCTGAGTGCTTCTAAGAAGCAGACCCAGGGCCAAGAACCCTGAGCCTGTCTCCCTCCTTTCCTGGTCTCTCCTCCCTCACTCTCCCCTGAGGCCCAGGGAAGGACTTTCTCCGTGTTCCACCCGAGGGCGGTTCCTCCAAAAGAGGAGCCCAGGGAAAGGTCCACAGTGGACACCAGGGCCAGGCACACCACCTGCCCACAGTGCTGGGTCCTCCCTCTTCCCTCTGGCCTGTGGAGAGGGCACCCAAGCTTACGAATGTGCCCGCTCACTTCCCGATGGGTGCCCCTGCTCAGGATGGACACCTGTGCCTCTTCTGCCCATCTGCCAACTCTCCGTCATTTCACGGGGCTCAATTTCCAAACCTTCCCAGGCAGAGGCCGTGTTCCTTTGGCTCCTGCAGGTGAAAGCCATCATCTGATGCTTTCTGTCCAAGTGTTGATGGATCTTTCAGAAAGTTCCTGGGATGAGCAAGGAGGTTCTTTGGACTTTTATCTTCCTGGGCCAAGGTTGATTGGACGAGTAGAATTATGTGCTAAAGACCGTAGTTTGTAAGTCACACTCCTCCCTGGTAGTGGGCCACCTCGCCTTCTCACCTGCTCAGGCTTGCAGTAGGCTGATGGGAGGCTGCATGGCGGGCTTGGTTCCAGTGGCACAGCTCGGAACAGATGGGTCTCTTTCTTCTCATGGAGCTCACGGTCTCTCCATGGAAATAGGTCCCAAACAAATACCCCTCTGAGTTAATCACAAATGTGATCACGGTGTGAAGGAGATGAGTCCCTTGCCGTGACACTATGGCCTCGGTCGTGTGAGCCTGAGCTGGTCTGGGGAGTCTGGCGACGCGGTCCTTGCAGGTGCATAGACTAGCTAGGTGACGGAAGCCAGGAGAGGGTGCGCAGAAGGCACCTACAATTTGTCTTAAGAGCAAGGAGAAATCAAATGTCCCCTCATGTGAGTAAATATGGCATCCCTGTGGGCACACGCGAACGGACACAGTAACGTCCCAGGGTGTGTCCCCAGCACACGGCGTCTGTGCTCAGAATCATCAAAGCTGACCGAGGCGAGCAGCGAGTGCCTGGCCCATTCTTCTAACTAAACAGCCCTTGTTTGTTGAAGGAACGAGTGAATGTTGAATTAATCAGTGCTGTTAGTTCCTAGGTGACCTCCAAGAGCTCATTTGCTTATGCAAAGCGTACAGGAGCCTGACAGCAGCCTGCAACCTGCCAGCCCACCGCGGGAATGTGGGAAAGCAGGCAAGACGTGCCTTTGGCCATGACCTGGTCATGCTGAAGAGCAGATGGAGGTAACCTAGCCCGACACACCACGGACCAGCATGGCTATTGTAGCTGGGGAGGCAGAGGGAGCCGGAATGCTCTGCGGGCAGTATATCTTCAACGTACAGACGGTCCCGTGCGGTTTATGGCCTGCTCTTTGCTTTGAGTACTGTCAAAGACGAACAGCCTTGAGTTGTAATAAGGGCATGCACAGGACCAGACCGTCTAGCTTCAAATTCTAGCTCCATTGTTCAGAGCTCTGCAAGCCTGGCAGAATTACTTAACTCTGTCTTCCCCGGGTGCCGTCTGTTAACACCTCGTGGTTCTTGGAGCATGACATGAGGTACAGCCACGAAAGCACTTCGAATAGAGCCTGGGTACAGCCCCCATTCACCCAGGGGCACCAGCCACCCTTGTGCCAATGCAGGGCCCCTGATCCCCTTGCAGCCCCATGTGCCCTGTGAGAAGACAGCCCAGGAGCGTCTCACTTCTCTTGGTCCCAGGGACAGGCAGGGAAGGATTTGCTTGTATTTGGAAATCAAGCACTTGAAAAGAGACTCTTATCTTGAGATCTGATTCCTGATTTTATCAAGCTCTTACAGCTAGTCCCTTTGTGGGAAAGTAACAACTGGCAGCATGGCTGATGTTGTGCCAGGGCCCTTGATAACTCTTTCAAATTCCTACCTGCAGCAACCTCTGTCTCTCTGCAGCTGAACCAAACAGACCCTCACTTGGACTTGAATTTCAGACAGGCTCACAGCAGCCAGCCCGAGGCAGGACAGCGTCCTTCAGAACTCGAGGATGATAAAGCTCTCCTCCTCCTTCACCCCGCACTGGCCTCGCTGCGGAGCTCACTGGGCCGAGAGGGACGCTGATGTTGGATTTCCCTTTGGAAGTTCTGTCGCATTCAAGTCCTGCGAAGCTGTGTTTGCCATCCGCTGTGTGCTTCAGTGGGTTTAAAAGGATCCTGCCAGATACAAATGGTGGTTAAACAGTGCACCTTGGAATCTTTGCATGAGCACCAACTGGGAGGTGGTGCGACTGTCTCACAGAATACCAACGACGAGGGAGAATTACAGGCTTTAACTGCTCGGAATCCCTAACAGAAGCCCTCGGAGGAAAGCTCACTTTGCCGCCTGTGTCCTTCGTGGTTTTGCGTAGTTTACTAACGTCTCTGCTGCAGAGTGCAGGCAGGTCCTGTGCAGGTGGCGGGCACACCCTCCTCTCACATAAGCCGCTGGCCTGAGTGTGAGACCAAGGCAGCGGGTGGGAGTGTTTCCCGGAAGAAGAGGGCACCCTGGGCACCGTGACCTTGGCCTCTCATTGTTTCCCAACACTTGGTAGAATTAGATGAATGGGATTTCCAACCCAAGGACTCAGAGGCCCACGGAAATGAGAACGGAAGGCGATTTTATTTTCTTACCTGGAATTGCTGTCTGTTGTGGAGGGTGGACGTGGGAGTCCTGGGCTAAAGCTCTTGAGATTTCCAGGTGGGTTTGTGTGTGTCTCTCGTTGAGAAAACACGTGGAAAACGGCTCTTGCTCTGAAGGATATCCGTCTACTCAGAGTAGCCTTTCCAAAGTTCTCGAAGAGCCACAAAGTCACCGATCTGTGGAAAGTCATGCAATTGACACTGAATTTAATTTCTTTGTGGCATGTAGTCAAAACTCCCCTGTGGAATTCAGACAAAACATGGGGTGCTGTACTTGTCTGTCATAGACTATTTTGATTTGATTGTTTGCAGGGAATGCTTGTTTAATGTAGTTCTTGATTGTGAAAAATGACGTCTCTGTGTCTCTTCCTCTCGTCTCTGGATCTCTTCCTCTCTACCAGTGATTTTTTTTTGGTGGGGGGGTATCAGGGATTGAACCCAGGAACACTTAACAACTGAGTCACGTCTCTAGCTCTTTTAATATTTTATTTAGAGACAGGGTCTCACCAAGTTGTTTAGGACCTTGCTAAGTGGCTGAGGCTGGGTATGAACTTGTGGTCCTCCTGCCTCAGCTTCCCAAGCTACTGAGATTCCGGGTGTGCCCCACCATGCCCTGCTCTACCAGTGACTTTAGACGCTTCTCCTATTAATAATCATCACCGGTTTTGGAGTATTTAATGGACACCAAAGCATTCTCGCTGATTTGCATCTTTAATCCTCATTAACGATGCTAGGAGGGAGGTGGCATTAACTCTATCCTACAAGTGAATCCAAGAAAAGCTTAGAGAGTTTAAATAACACCCATGGGAGAGGAAGCACAGGGTTGAAGGGCGGCCTGGAGACCTGGGGCCCTGCTCTCCGTCAGCACCTATCTCTTCCGCCTTCCTTCACAGCGGGTTGCCTGACACCTGGTCCTTAGGAGGCAGCTGGTGAAATGAAGACCACACACAGCGGCCACTGGGCTGACAGGTGGCAACCCAAGCAAAGTTGTGATCTGTCATCCCACCCTTCCACTCTGCCCCGTCGCCTTCAGTCACAGCATTTGTCAAGGATTTGTGAAGCAGGGGTTTGTGACATAAGGGAGGATGTGCCAGGGTCCCCATCTTCCCCTGGGGGAGGCAAGATAGTTTACCTGGAAATACATACAACCTTTACCAAAGAAGATTGCCATATTGTGTGTATGACAAATACGTGACCGCGTGATCCTGTGTCTGCAGATACATGTGTGACGTGTGTTCCGAGATACCAAACAGTGTTATTTAGTTCAGAAATGGAGGTGAGAGCAGGACCTTCACATTTCTCAGAGGGTAGGACATGCTGATGATGCCCGCGCCTGACCTTGTGTGTATGACACCTTACCTGCAAGGTGTGCGTGATTTTCCCCGTTCTGCATGAGGGACCCAAGAGACACTCCGCAGCTTGTTCAAGGAAGCACAGTTAATACAGGACAGAGCTAGTGGTTGAATTCCACCCTTTCCCCTTGTACTCTTCTACCTGTCAGAGGGGACCTTAGGATGAGCGGCAGCTACCACAGATGGAGAAGGATGGTCCATATTTATTCCTAATAAAAGGCACCCAGCTGTCCCAAGGCCCAGCAGCCCACCCGGGGCCCTGCTCCATTCTCTCCTCCGCCCTCACCTCTGCCTTGCTTAGGGGATGCACGCTCTCCTTCCCAATAGAATGAGTCCTGCTCAGGCAGGGCCCGCTTCCTTGTTTACCTGGTCCCCTGTGCCTAAAATGGGACTTGGCATGAAATAGACATCCCGCACAGGGGTTTGTTGACATAACACTCACAGCAGTGATCCCAGGACTTCATGACCAATGAGTGACGTCTTGTGTCTTCACTGAGCGACTGTGACCATCTATGATGGCTGGGAACGCTGGTTGCACAGAGGCATTGGTTAGAAAATCTTCCAGAGACTTCTGTTTTGCATCCAGGGAACCACGCTGGGGGTTATGAGCTGCCCCTGGAGGGAAGGAAAAGGAAGAGACCTCATCCCGTTCTCCTGCCCTTGCTTTGGGTCACCAGCTGAAGCCACTCGTGGCTCTGGGAAATAATTCCCACCCTGCTGAGAAGGGGTGCCCTGTGCGTTTGGAAACGAGGGGCATTCATCACAGGGAACCAGCAAAACTTTTCAATCCCATCCATTAAGCGGCGGAGCTGCACGTAGCCAGGACGCCGGCTTGCCTGCCCGTCCATTTAGCATTTGCAGACAATCCCCGTACAGTACAAAGCAATTTGTTTTTATATAATTTCCTTCATGCTTGCAAACACGACATGCATCACAGGAAAGCCAATCGTGAGCTGAGGAGGAGAAGGATGATTTAAAGCCCAGAGTGGCTCATTTGCTCTGGGGTGTGAGAAACCATCCTTTCCCTAGGCCAGGGGTTCTGCAGAAAGTCAGGTGAAAGAGAACTGTGCTGGCCCCCGCTCTGCCTAAGTGGCTTCCTCTTAGGAGGTTTGGCACTGAGCCCTGAGTGACCTTAATGCGAGGAGGTGAGGTCTGCTCCTGTAAGCCTGGGAGCAGGGTGCCCTTCCTCCCCACTTTTCCAAAGGATCATCTGCCTTCCCAGGGAACCCCAATAGGGTCACAGCGGCTTCTGTCCTGAGCCCCCACATCTCAGAGGCATGTGCCTCGATTTTAACCATTTTTGAAACTTCAGTCTTCAAATAAACTCTTCTTAGCTCCAGGAAAGCTTTTCATTTATTTATTCATTTATTTAATTCATTTGTTTTTGGGGGTTGCTACCTTCATTGTCTTCCTAAATACATTTTTTTAATTCCTTTTTTTTAAAACCTAGAGGCACTGAGCTTCATCCCCAGCCCCTTTTACTTTTCACTTTGAGAGAGGGTATAACTAAGTTGCTGAGGCGACTTGGAACTTTTGATCCTCCTGCCTCAGCCACCTGAGTTGCTGGGGCTACAGGCCTGCACTGGCTCACCCAGTTGCCTTTGTGCTTTAATGACACATATAACAAGATATTTATTTGATTTCTCCAATAAGATGCAGAGTTCTAAAGACTCCCTTGAGTTATCAGGATTGCACTGGGGTTTAGAGCCATGACGAGAGGTGACTTGTGGATGGCCTCAGGTGCCTTTGCTGGTCATAGAGAGGTGGCAAGATGGATCCTGACTTAGGTAAGATGGATTAGTTTGGAAAGCCAAGCCACGGCTTGCGGAAGACTCTAGATTTCCAAGATCCCTTTGAATTCAAAGATGCTGATGTCTTCTGTTCCCCAGCACACCCGGCTCTTATTCCTTGACATGTCTTTAGCTATCTTGGACTCCAAATTCTATTTATATACACTGGTTTCCAGAAAATGCAGAAGCCAATGACGAGTTTAATCAACATTAATAAAGATCTGGGCGTCAGTGGGAGGGATTGTGTCTCATGAGGCACAGTCCATGTGACACATTCCTGGGCTCCAAACTTCCCCCTACTTTCCCTACTGTCAATGACAACCTGGTCATACATCTTCTTCTCACCTTTCATCTCTGTATTAGTCCATTTTCTGTTGCTATAATGAAATACCTGAGGTTGAGTAACTTATAAAGAAAAGAGTTTTATTTAAGTCATGTTACAGGCTGAATGTTCAAGATCAGGTGGCCTATCTGGCTTCTAGTGAGGGCTCCCCCATGGCTGCATCACAGTGCGGTGGAGAAGTAGAAAGGGAAGTGGACATGTACAAAGGAAGCCAAATGGGTGGCGTGACCTCAATTTATAACAGCCCATTCTTGCAAGAACCAACTGATTCCAGGGGATCAACATGCATCCCTTCTGGTGGCAGGCAATGCCCTGCTGACCTGACCACCTCTTGCCAGGTTCCTCCTCTCCAGGGTCCCTCACACTGCCTTCCTGGGGACCCCCTCTAGGGTGTGGACATACTCAAACCATATCCAAACCTGAGCTGTCTCCTTTCCTAGGACAACCGATGCTCAGGTACACACCTCCTCCCCCACATGTCAGAGAGGTTTTGCCTCCCGCCATCCTCCCCGCAGCTCCTTCTCCAGGGGGACCAGCCTCCCCTGGGCCCCATCTTCTCCCTCCTGCTCTTCTTCTGTCCTCACACACCCTCCTCCCTCCTCCATTCCCAGTCTGCGCCAGTCTGTCCACTCAGCACGAAACCCACGTTTCCAGGGTAGGTCTGGTGGGCGGGGTCCCTGATGCGCAGCCTCGGATGCCCTTGATCAGGTCTCCTTCGAGGGACCAGGAGGACCCAACTCCTCCTGCTCAGGACCTCTCGGCGCTGCCCACCTCCCCAGCGCAGCCCTCTCCCTTCTCTTCCTTCGTTCCAACTGCGCACGTTTCCGTCCCAGAAAGCGCCTCACCTCCTTCCAGCTCCTCCTGTTTGCACAGTCTGCTCCTGAGCCTCGAATGTCTGCCTCCCCAGCCCCACCAGCCTCCGGAACCTCCGGCCTCGACCAGCTGGTGGACAGCACCCAGGGCTGAGCAAAGGGCCAGCCCCCAGGGAGTGGCCGGGATCGCTGCGCCAGGGAAGGCGCGCGTGCTGAGGTCAGGGCGCTGGAGCTGGCACCGTGGGTAAGGGGCGCCCAGTGCCCCCGGAGCGCGGGGCAGGAGGGGCAGCGGAAGGCAGGAAACCTGGCGAACACGTCCTCTGCCCGGAGGTCAGGGTCCCGGCAACGGGAGGGAAATGGCACTTTTCACCTGTAGCCCGCCTCCCAACGCCTGCGACCCAGGTCCAGCCGGGAGAACAACGCCACCCAAATCCGAACCGAGGGACGTTGTATGGGATACCCAAGCGGTGCCCCTCCTACCTGCCCGGGTCTTCAAAAATAAAGAAAAACCGAGGCCAGTCACAGCCCACAGGAAGGAGCCCGAGGAGACGTGGCGACCACGGTGCCATCACTGTGCTGTCCTGGAGGGAACCTTGCAGCAGAGGGAGGACACGGGAGACCAGGAACACCACTCGCGCAGACTCCAGGGTCAACACGGTGGCTTCTCTGACAGATGGGCCTCACCCAAGGGCGGCCGTAATAACAGGGCACCTGGGTGTGGGGACATGGGGACCCTGTACGCAGATTTTCTGTAAATCTTAAACTCTTCTACAAAAGAGAGAAAAAGAAATCTGCAAAAGGAAACTGACAGCCGTGGGCAATCTCTCCTCCCAGGCGCCCTGGGCCAAGGCTAAGCTGCGGTTCTGCCCCGCCCCACCGGGGACCTCTCCTCCCTCCCAGCGGGTTCTGAGAACACTGGTGGCCTTCGCTCTGCCGCCTGCCCCTCGGGTCCTGCAAGTGGGTTTTGTTTTAGTTTTTTCCCCAAAGCACAGGCAAATATCCAGTCTCCTCCCAGCCGACCTTCGACACGCTGCGGGGAAATGGCCAAGAAGCTGGAGTCTGGGGCCCTGAGAAAATAAACAGGGGAGGAAAGTGCTGCATGTGTGGGGGGGCGAGGGGGAGGGGGAGAGGAAGCCGGGGTGGAAAAGGTGAACCCAGCTCAGATTCAGGTAGAAATCCGACCCTCCTCCCATCCCAGTTCAGCCTTTGCCAACCTTCTCAGAACTCTGCTGAGCCAGCATGTCAGCCCTGGGGGTCAGCAGTGGGAAGGGGCTACTTGGTGGTCCAGCTCCCCTGCTAGGGTCAGATGGCCTCTTTCTCACCTCCTGCTTTCTGAGTGCCATACCGCGTGCTGGACGCACATCCGGACTGAAATCCATGCAGCCCAAAGACCTTCAGGAATCCTATTAGCAATGCAGGATTTCATCTTCCAAACCTTCTCAGGACCTTGTTGAGAGAGTGAAGGTGAGACGTGAGCTCTGGGGCCACCTCCATTCACCCTCTGTGGTGGTGTGACTTCGGGGACATCATTTACCCTCCGGGAACCTCAGCTTCCTGATGTGCATAGTGTAGAAATATCCATACCCGCTTCTTAAAACTGTGTGCCCATCAAGTCCATCAGCTCATGCCTGGGACTTTTGACAGAGCCTAGCATCTTGTAATTTTCCAATAAATGTTAGCTCTTCAAAATCAATTGTGTGTCCTTCAAAATGTTAAGCACTAACATTTCACATTTCATCTTCTCCCTATGTGAGGAGGTGGAGAGCTGTTGTCAGGCCCTGTCTTATCTTAGAAAAAGATTAGAAGTTGCCAGCCGGAATGTAATTGCCATTGAGGGGACTTAAATTTTGTTTGGATTAATAATTCACTCATCAGTCTCATAGGTAGGGATCAAGTTGAGAAGTCTCATTTTTTCATTATTAATAATTCCAGTAGATTCCATTTATTGAGCAATTATTACGTGCCAGACTCCGTTTAAAGTACTTTAGGTGATTATTGCTAATCCTCCCAACAGTGGGAGGGAGATGCCGGCACTCATTTCACTTAGCCTGACATTGGAGAAGTTAAGGGGTCTTCCAATCCTGCAAGTCTACTGAGAGAGGAAGCCGGGATTCAAACCAGACTTGCAGGTTCAGCGCTCTTCTCTTGCTTGCTGCATTCTGGGGTTCTGTGCCGGTT